TTCCTCTTCGTCAAGCATGCTGGGAAGGAGACCAGACATCAAGAAGAGGAAATTTCACTTCCACTTCAACGTCCAAATCCCACCAGCTTGTCTGTAGATTTTAGAGTTGGGAATAATTCCTTTTGGGCTTAAAAGAAATTTCAAAATTCAGTAAGAAAACCTCAGCTAAAAAGGCCAAATGTAAAAACCAAGGGAAGCACAAAAGGAAGCCTAGAAAAAATCCTAATTCCGGAAAAACATGTAGAAGTGAAGAATGACTTTCTGTCCAAAAAAAAATGTCAAAATAAAATGCAGAGAAAAAAAAAAAACAGGTAGAAAAGGAATGAAATGCTCCATTCAAGCCAAAGTCCTCTATTTACATACAAGTGACAAATGAACAGTTGCAACGATCTTGAGAGTTGCGAATGGCTTACCAGTAGTTTCTACACCAGTATCAGATTTCTAGCATGAACTGAGAATGCGAGAAACATCACTATTACATTAGTCTCGAACTCCTTGTACTTGATCCGAACTTCATCGTCTGATCAGTAGAACCTCTGTCTTTCGCGGCTTGAGGCAATGACACTGATAAAGTTCACATCACCATAAGAACATACTCTAATGTTGAATTCTCCGCTGCAAGTAATGTTCTCTGAGGATTGTAGTAATTAGTAAGAAATGTAGGTCGAGAGAGAGAGAGAATAAAGCTCTTTTCAAATCAAAAAGAAAAGTAAAACTTATTGAATGCCTTTTGGATGCCCATAACCCAATGGTCCCAACCCATTCAATCCATTAAAAATATTTTAATGGTCCCATCCCACGGTTAACAAATACGATCCAACCCGCTGATAAATGGGTGGGTTGAGCGGATTGAGTTGTAAATTGCCACCCCTAGCCACGAGTAGTCCACAAAGCGCCAGATGTGAACCAACGTATATTCTTGCTTGAGTCTATATGCCACCTACCAAATGTCAGCATTCTGTAGCAAATTCCATTGCATATTATCCACCGAAGAGGTGGGATCTGCTCCTCCCATAGGGCGCCTCACAATGACCTCACAGGCACATCCCACCGTGAGATGTGCATGTGAGGTCGGTGTGAGGCTCCAAGAGTTTACGAGCAGATTTGGTCTCCCCTCAAATGGATATCGTTTTAGATTCCTCCCTCTATATGCCATTAGCTGTCACGGAGTTAATTGTTGAGGTCCTGTGCGGCATTAGAATGGGGTGAATAAGTCTAAGCAACAAAGCAAATACATACAAAAAAAACAACAAAATGACACACGAATTAGCAAAAAGCTATTTGTATTGCATTAATAGATGACAAGCACAATCACACAGTTTAGTGTCTCGTGCTTAACCTTGACACGCTATTGATTCACTTGACTACATACCTCCCCTCAAAGAGTATGCTAAACTTTTGGAATAATGACATAAGAAAACATCAAAAGAGTGGAAAATCATACTAAGTAATTACAATAATTCCATTGGTGGTCCCCCCTTACAAGATACATACATAGCCCACCCATGACACACATAATAACACCATGAAGGCATGCTGTAAGCACTCTGGTGGCACGACGGTAGGTGCTTAGTGGCACGGTGAAAGAATCACTTTTGACAGTTAGCTGCAATTTCCATTTTGAGCTCTTAGCTCTCTTTGCGCAAACCTCCTCTTTTGCTTAGTTATTTTGGGATATTAATAATTGAGCACCAAAATTGTATTGTCTTCTTTTCTCTTCTTGGCATTATGTAAGCTTTTTGATCAAGTTGAAACTAAATAAGTTTTGAGTTTCCTTTTGGTTCCATGCATAGTTGTTCTTCCTGTGCGCTCTGATTGAACTTGTTTCAGAGACACCGAGCTGAATCCTTAAATCATGTACTTCAGTAGAGGTTGAAGTCGCTGAACCTTGATGGGTTGCAGAGGTCCAGCATTGTTGCCATTGGCTATCTCTACAAGATTAATTTCCCTCCTTCAGACAACATCGGCTGTATCTAGATCTGACAATTTGGTTGGGTGGGTTAGGTTCGGATTGGGTCAAGACACTTCGGGTTGAATTTCTTATTGGGTTGTCAAATGTTTTGGTTAGGGTTGACCTATGGGTCAATTTGGGTCATCCCAAAAAATAACTGAAATTAAAAAAAAAATACATGAAAAATGTCAAAATATTTAAAGGAATTAATCTTAAAATTTCAAATATAAAATAAAAAAACTAACATTTAACAATTCAAAGAATAAACAATAAAGAGTAAAGATTAAATAGTAAAAATTAAAAAGTGGAAACTTCTAACAATGCATAAATAGTCCCAACTCCCAATTAGATTAGACCTGACAATCAGGTCAAAGGATTGACCCATGACCCAACCCAACCCAAGCCGATTTTTTTCTGGGTTGAATCGGGTCATTCTCAAATTCAAGTAGCTAAATATGAGACGCTAACCCTATTTTCTTCGGTTTGAATTCGGTGGGATTGGTAGGCTGGGTCAACTTTTTGCCAGGTCTAACTGTACCAATCCCCCTATTTTTTCCCTTTTCGAAATTGAAGTTCTAATCAGTCTGAATTGTCTACGATTATACTCGGAGTTTAACACTCGGTCCATCTCCACGAACCGTAGAATTCAGGATCCAATTATTCCATTTCAGGTGTTATTCACGAAACAGTTTATCCATGTTAATTAGACCTAATTATTTTGCAGCTCAATTTCATCCTGGTGCAACAGTTTGGGAATGCAAATTAGTTCAATACAAATTTTGGTTTAATTTTGTTTTGTTTGTTTGCAATGCAATGAATTAAGACAAAACCTGAAGTGAAGTAAAACTCGAAGCAAAAGTGAATTTGAACCTTCGCATTTGTTACTGCTGCTGCATGTGAACAGGCCACAAGATATTTCTCCTCAATTTAACTTAGGTCCATCGACTTGTTTGGCATGAATAATTAATTATGGGGTAAATTTATTAAATTACCCTTATGGTTTAGTTAATTGACTAACTCTAATTTTACTGTTTGAAAATTGACTAAGTGTACTCTTACTATTTCTGACAATTGACTAGTTCTATCCCTGCCGCTAGCATCCGTTAATTTTCTGTTAAAATCCGTTTACACTTGACACTATGTGACTTTTAAAAATTTTAAAACCCAATATGACCCTCATCCCTTTCTTCTGGACCAACAACCCCTACAATCTGGAGAGCTTCTTTGGGATCTTGCCAGAAAATGCTAGTGAAGTTGTAGGTTCCAGTGAGATTCCGACGAGTTTGAATAGCGAAATCGAAAATGCAAGAGACTTCATTGGTTGAAGGAATCAACAATAATAACACCAACAACGGAAACAAGAAGAAGAAATATGAGGAATATAGTAAAGAAGAGCCCAAGGTGGTAGCCACGGCTACTGCCGTGGTGGTTCTAGCACCGTTCGTCGTCGGCTAGAGTCGATCTCCCTATTTTCTTCTTCCTCCATCCCCCTCCCAGAGAGAATGGAGAAAGCGGTACTGGTGGGGTGAAGAAGAAAGAGATGATGAAGAACACATTGATATGGGAGTAGCAACACCACTACCAGCGCCTCTCTTGTTTCACTTGAAGAATCACCTCCCAATTCTAGTTTCCAAGACTGCATCGACCTCCCAAGACAAACCTAGTTGTGCAAATTCTATGTCCCAAAGCTTCCATCAGGGGATCTTTGGTTTCTCAAATGGTTTTGACAGATCGACGACGGCACAACAAGCGCAACACATCGCCCAACAAAGTCGGAGGGATAAATTAAGGGTGCAAGGGTTTGAACCACTGCCCCCTTTAGTGGGCATAAAAGCGGAAGAGTCCGGGAGGCTGCCAGGCTATGAGACAGGCGGGATGTTGTCTGAGATGTTCAATTTCTAGCCGGGTGCCCCTCGTGGCTGCGGAGCTCCTAGAAAATCAGATTGCATCCAATCACTGACCTTCGACGGAAGTCCATGGTTCTAGCGCCGTTTGTCATTGGCTAGAGTTGATCTCCCTATTTTCTTCTTCCTTCGTCCCCCTCCTAGATCTGACTTGCGACTTTAAAAAAGGAGAAGATTTCTCTTATTTCTTCTTCCTCCGTCATAGCCATCTATAGATCTAGGACATTTCAGAGAGAGAGATGAGATAAGAGGAAGAAACGACTTTGAACGAAGAAAACTCATCGACCTCCGGCGGAAGTCTGTGATGGTTCCAGCGCCGTTCGTCATTGGCTAGAGTCGACTTTCGTCGGACTTCCGCATTAGTGGCTGCCATCGGTGACGATGGCGACGATAGCCTGTCTGAGAGGGATTGAGTTAAGTTAAAAATAGGGATAAAAATGTAATTTCACATAGGGGTATAACAGGCATTTTACCTTTTTCGTCCATATTTAACGGTTAAGGGTACACTTAGTCAATTGTCAGAAACAATAAGGGTACACATAGTCAATTTTCAAACAGTAAGGGTAGAGTTAGTCAATTAGCTAAACCATAAGGGTAGTTTAAGAATTTTACCCTTAATTATGCACAATTATAATGCACGTTATCATTTAACTTTCTGTAAATACCAAGTCCTATCTCCATCGACTTGGGCTCATTCGCTTTTTGGTAAGTTACTTACTCGGGTAAGTGCACCCATGTTCTTTTATTTCTCATGCAAACAAGACAATGTCCATTTTAACCATAAAATTCCATTATTACAAGGGGCATTTTTGTTTTATTCAAGTATTGGCAACTTTTCCCCAAAGTGGAAAAGTTATTTACCCACCTAGGAGATGGGGGAAAGTTGACAATGTCCTAGGTGGGTAAATAACTTTCCCTGGATAAGTGATACCGTATCACTTAATTGGGTAAGTGATACTCAAGAAAATAAACTTTCCCTAATCCCCACATAAATCTGAAAAAAGAACATAGAACTTTCCCTCCTCTCAGAATCCAGAAAAAGAACTCCCCTCAAATTACTGTAGGAGACAATTGAAAATAAGTTCAGAAAGAATTCATTGAGTTCGGGTGAAAGAGCTTACGTTGTCAATTTTATCAGTCTCAGTCTCTGTTGTTGGACTTGATATGTAACTACAGAAATGAAAAGATTGCGAGTACAAATTTGAAGTTCAGTTTGAGTCCACATTGTTGGAGTTGTACGTACTGAACATGGTTAGAAGACGCAAAAGCAATACAAATTAGAAGTTAAAGGTGAATCTATCTATCTCCCCTTAAGAAAGTTCCTGCAAATCTTCTCCCATGTCTTTCTGTCCCGTTCAGCCACCTCCAATCTTGACTTAGCACATTCAGCGAATGACCTCTGGTAATTAGTTAACTAGCTCAGATTAGATGGCAATCTAAATGAATAAAGTTAATGAAATTACAAGATTTAAATGCATTTTCTTTTGTTTACCTCTATGGAGTTGTTGTTAACAAGACGATCAATGATATTATATAGAATATCTGTGGTGTATTCTGGATGGCCTTGAATGCCTAATATGTGGTCTCCAAGGGTGAACATCTCTACTCTTGTCTTGTCTGAGGAGGCAATTACCTCAGCTCCAAATGGGACCTCCAATACCTATTGTTCCATAGTTAACTTGTTAGAGAGAGAGAGAGAGAGGGAGAGAGGAATGTGAATCTAGCCACCTACCTCATCTTGATGGCACTCAATAATGGAAAGAGAAGGTGGGATTTCCTTTAATCCATCAAAAAAGCCATAATGAGGCAAATCCTCCACCATCTTGACTTTCCTCAGACCAATATCCCAACCACTAAAAGCTCTCCCTACCTTGCCACCCAATGCTCGGCACAGAACCTAACAAAAGCAGAAAAGCAAATTAGCAAAGAATGAATAAAAGCATAACCTAATTACTTTTCTTTCATGTGTATTACTACTATATACGTACCTGATGACCGAAGCATATACCAACAACTTTCTTTCCCATGGCATCTACTGTTTGTAACAAGAGGCAAAGTTTGAGGATCCACAAATCGTTTCCAAAAGCATCAAAAGGGCTACCACTGATCACAAAGCCGTGGTACTCGTCAAGCTCATCCATGTCAGGAAACTCTCCATCGACAACCCTGAACAAATCCCACTGCTCTCCTTCCTCTGCAAACGCATTCATGAAGACATTGAAGTATCCACCATACATTTTCTTCACAAAATCAGAGTCCCTAGCTGCTAGCAGGAGAGCATATCTCCTTTCCCTTGCAACCTTCATCTTTGAGAGAGAGAGAGAGAGAGAGTTGCAAGCAAGCTAAGAGAAGAGATAAAAGAAAAGGAACCAAGTTTCAGGAAGCAAAGATCTAAAACCCACTTGTGTTATGATCTAAAGAGGAAATGGACTGGTTTTTCAGTTGAATGAAAGCCTGAGAGTGCTGTCTTTTTGTTTGTGGTGAATGTCTTATTCTTGTGAAATTTCTTCAAATTTTCCTTTGATTTAGGCAATGAAATTTCTTGATTACGAGGGTAATGGCTGCTACGCGTTTTTACCTAATACTGACCCCACATAGGCACATTGGCTCGTTCGCTGGGATTATTGGCGTAAACAAATCTTTGAACCTACCACCGACCGATTTTAGTCTTCTGCATGGTTTAATCAAATTGAATCTTACTTCAATTCTAGTCAGGTTCATTCGGGTACTATTGAACTGGAGCCAGTTCTTCTTATCTATTCGGTGTGTTTCCATCTTTCCATGCTAGAGTCCCATTGTGACCTGTTTGTCCAGGAAAAGAAAATGAAAATAAATATTTAATTAGTTGGGTTTTAAGGAAAATCACTCCATTTCAGTCCCGACATTTATTTCCATACAGTCTATGCAAACGAGCCTTAGAAATTAAAAGGGAGAATGACCAATCAGCCCAAATTAAAATTTTATAGCCCCAAAGTACAGAGGAAATGTATCTTGACCGTGAACTGATGTTAAATCCACCAGCAGGATGTGGTTTATAGGGGAAAGGGCTAATAGCAGGAGGGGGGCTGGAATTCAGAATTTTACATCGTATGTATCCGTATTTATCCCAAACAGTCCATAAAACTCACCATCACACAAAATTCATTGTGCCGAATTCATTGTGATGGATTGTATGTTTATATTTTATATAATATAATAGGGAAAATCATCCATAAAACTCACCATCACAGAAAATTTTCTATCCCATCCAATGAGAATCGAACACACCATCCTCTCCCAAACTCATTTGAAACTGACGGAGTTCGGACCTTACGACAGTTTGGACTCCAAAATTTAATCAAATACAATTAACCTTCTATTCTCTTCCCTCCCAATCACCACCACCCCTTTACCCTCACCAACACACTGTGCCAATCTCACCGTCGTTAACAAGTCCTCACATCCCCTCTCTCTTCTCTTCTCCTCCCTCAACCGTCAGATAAGACAAGGCTCACCGCTGCAACCCTCGCACCCCTCTCTCTTCTCTTCTCCTCCCTCAATAGTTGAAGACGGCAAGGCTCGCCACTGCAACCCTTTTTGGAATACTTGTCACAAAGTGAATGAAAGTGTGAATAAAATGCAACAGAATTATAGCAATTCATGAATTCCGGACTCGAGTTTAGGATTATTAATCATAGTCGTCTGAAACATTACCATTGCACAACACAAATGTTTGGATTTTTCTCTTTAACAGATGAGTAACCCAGCAGATCCAGAGTGCAACAGATGGCAATCAAATATTTTGATGTGTGTCGAACTATTATCCTTCACGTGGCTTCGTGTTGACAAGTTGTCATATATCATCCCTCCACCTCATTTCCCAAGTCAAATTTAATCTCCCATTGTTAACACCTCCACTGTCAATCTCTTGGCTTCTTCTAATTGCCAACGTTCGCCCTTTTCTATATCAATTCAAAATTTCAAATAGAAACCAGAAAAACATATTATAAGCCATGGCCCTTCTAACCAAAATGGAATATTTCATCTCTGAAAGTTTCTTTTTGAGTACTATAATACAACTTTGCAAATGTGTATAAACTGCTAATAATATTTCTGTCCACCACCCAAGCTGGATGTTGGATCTTGCTTTTAGTAAATTCATGAGCTGTTGTGGTAGGTTATTAGTTCATCAAGCATGCACGGATAATGGAGCTTTGCCGTCTCCAACGGTTGAGAGAGAAGAAGAGAAGAGAGAGGGGATGTGAGGGTTGCAGCGGTGATGGTTATAGAGTCGTTTCCAATGGCAGATTGGCAGTGCAATTTGGGCTGTTTCTTGGTGCTATGAAGAGGTGATGGGACTTGGGAGGGAGGAGAATAAGAGATGGGCTACGGGTTAATTGTTTTTGATAATCTTTGGATTCCATACTGCTAACACCGTTAGTAGAGTAATAAATGGTTTTCAAAACTGGATCGGACCAGATGGTTGGACCAGAAAAACCAGGAACTGTGTCAGGTGATTGGTTTCGATTATCCCCAAAACTGGAAATTTGCCCAAAACTGTTGATTTTGGTCATCAAACTGCTGACTTGGGCAGTTAACTGTTCAAACTGTTCGAACGGTTTTGACTATTTTTTGTTTTTTAATTTTTTTGTTAGAACAGGCCGATCGTTTGACCCGGTAATCGGACCCCTGACCGGTTCGGTCTTTGGGTCATTTTTAAAAACCATGTACCATTTTACCTTTTATTATATTTGACCCACTTTTGAATATTTCAGAAATATCCCTGTTATTATTTGACCCAAGACCCATTTTTTAGCTTCGTTTGAATACTTTTGAGCAGCACAATGGCAGCAAAATGTCTCTCTATCTTATATATAAGGTAGTTGGATGCTTAAGGGCATTTTAGTCATAAAGTATGTTTAATAAGGCTGATTTTCCATTCAAGGAAAGTTTGGTCATGAAAATCACATTTATGCTGATGTGGATAACTTCTGTTAGTGTAAACAAATAGTGTTCTAATGGATGGTGAGTTTTGGAAAATAAAAACTTACTCACATGGGGTTTCCCGGACGTTTTGAAATGTTATTATGAGTTTAAGAAATGCTGAAAAGTCATGGTGAATTTTAGACAATTTTCCTATATAATATGTATACTTGCAATAAAGTTCTATTTTGATGAAGTCTATTTATGTGGCCCAATTCCAAACCGCCATGTAGCCCTGAACAAAGCATTCAAGGAACTTGTTGATGACTCAAATTGGTCCAGCCATCTACCTGATTAACCGGTTTTTATTAGACATCTCTATGTGCCAAGGTCTTGATATGGATGATCACCAAGAAGACTGGATTAGGCCCGAAGTCTCTCCTAACAAGATTAGGACTCCTCGGTGAGCATGGCGCCCCAAGAAAGGTATGCACATCATAGCTCTCTTTTTTTCTCTACACCTCATCATTGGAGAGTTCTAAGGGATTTTTGACTTTCTTGTAGACGTTTGAATGATGCTTACCTGTCAGCACATACATGAAAAACGGTGATGAGAATCACCTTACCAAACAGCATAGTGTTGCTCTCTACCTATGTGGCAGAAGCGTTTCTTTGTGAAAAACAGGTCTTCGAAGCATGGGCCTTTTTTTTTGAAAATCGGTCCCAAAAAGCGCCCACGTTTCCAAACACCATGTTAGATTGCAAAGATATATTTGACTAAGTCAGCTTTTCTAAGAACCGATAGTCAAACCATTTTGGTTGCCGGTCCTAGTTAAATGGTCCAACCCTCTGATCTGGTCCAAGTTTGACAATACAGGTTTGTCACAATATGCATTACTATCTTATATAAAACTAAAACAGAGGGTATCTTAGGTTCTTGATTGTGTGTTCCTATTAAGGTGCAATTTGGGCGGGTTTGGGTTGGAGTTTTGTCAAAATTTGAATGATGCTTGACCAAAAACCTAGTTTGATAAAGTACAAAATCTCAAAATCAAGCACCTCACTTGCACCCCTATTGGGATCTCTTGCCGTTGAAACACATTTCAACCATGGTTTTCAAACGGGCATTGATCTGGATGGTTGGACCGTTCGGCCTGAGAACCATTCAGACAACCGATTCCGTTTTATCCCAAAACTGGTCCCTGACCAAAAACCGTTGAATTAGTTAATGACCTGTTAACTCAGGTGATCGAGTTCAACAGTTTTTGGCCATTTTTTATTTTTAATTATTTTTTTAATTTTTGTCAGAATGGATCGTCCGTTCGAATCTAACGATCAAATTGTCAACTTAAAAACCAATGATCAAAACAGTTCCATTTCTGATCATTTTTTTAAAACCATGATTTCAACACTCTATGAACATGATCTAACACCCGCGCATCAAAATACCTTTTATCATAATGTTTTTACACAATAATGACTATAAGATTAAATATGTTAATAATGAAAGTACATGTATACATACTTACACATCATGGTTGAACAACCTCACCAAAATCATTCATATTGGTTCATCTAAATCTGACGTTGGGAGTTAGTTTTAGTTTTGAATCCAATCTCACATATTCAATTAGATATTTAACTAAATTGCCACAACAATATTGAAATAAAAAAGAAATATCCATTCAGTAATGGGTGAACTGGATGAACAGAATGACTTGTAGCTTTGTCTTTATATAGGATAGTCATACAATCAATCATTATATTTAGGGATACAGTGCTCATGAGTTATTCACTAAAATATTCTAGGCTTTCTAGCTATTTTTGCAACCAAATCTTAATCTAAGGCTATGCATGTTTGGTTTGATAGATAATGAGAGAGAAACAAAAAGTTGTTGAATTTTACAAAATTCTTTAGGCTTAGTTTGGAAGGAGTTATGTAAAATGCAAAACCTTATATTTTGTATTATTTTTTATGTATTTATATTGTATATATTTGTATTTATACTCCTTTCAATTTTCTATTATTGCTCTCTTAATTACTTTCTACGAAACCAAATTGGATTAATGAATAGATTGCTCTATGCTCACTTGTTGTTCTTCAATCAAAGGTCTTGATTGATGCTTCTCGAGTGTAAAATTTTTAAAGCTTATATAGACCATTCCTTTTGATCTTTTTTTCTCTCTACTTTTTCTTCTGTAACAGCGTGTTTGATCAGATAGAAAATAAAGGAGTAACAGAAAGTCGAGGGAAGGTTCTTAAAAGGATGTTTGTGAAACTACTTTAAGAATTTTCTCTCAACTTTCTCTGAATATTCTCTTTTATTTTCTGTCAAATCAAAAACAGCCTAAAGGTACAAAATGAATCTGGTTTTCATGCCTTCCAAATTAATATGAACATATC